GAATTCTCTTGGCTGACTTCACTTACTCATGCACTAATTAATCATTTAATACCCAGTATTTATTTGAATTTTGTATTAGTTAGGACTCTTGGTTGTAAGCGACAGAAACATAACTCACTCTGGCTTAGGCATAAAAGGGAATTTTTTGCCTTTGCAATTGCAAGCATAGATGGCAGGCATGACTGCATCCACGAGATCATTCTCATTCCTTCTCTCTTCTGTGTTGGTTTCATTCTCTGTCAAGCTGCCTTTGTGGTGGCCAGATGGTGACAGCAGCTCCTACCTGCGAAGTAAGTCCAGTGCAAAGAAAAGTATTTTTTTTTTCCCCAGTAGTTCTAACAAAGTCCCAGGGAAGAAGCTCATTGGCTGGCTTAGGTCACGTGTTTGTCCCTGAACCAATCACTGTGACCAGAGAGATGAAAGGCTCTGATTGGCCAGACCTGGGTCTCATGACCACCCGCCTAAACCATAAGAGCTGAGAATTGCAGGGGTGGGTCCTAGAGGAAAATGGCAGTGTTGTCAAGAGAAGAAGGGGAAAGGGATCTGGGGCAGGCAAGACCCACAGCTTTCTGCCACATGTGCTCATGCTCAGCCAGGCCCGGTGCTGGGTTCTGGGGACCTTGTAGTAAACCAGACGTTGTGGTCCCTGCTCTCCTAGACCTTGTAGTCTAGCTAGGGAGCCAAAAATGGAAAAATAATGTCAGGAATGAGGGCTGGACAGTTAAACATGGTGAATATTCTGAAGGAGAAGCACAGCATAGCTCAGGGGGAACGTAAGGTTAGGAGGTGGGGGGACTGTAGCCTAGTCTCGGAGAGGGTCACGTAGGCTTTTGTGAGGAAATGATGTTTAGGCTGAGCCCTGAAAATTGGATACGTGCTAGTTAGGCTAAGGTGGGAGTCCGAGTGGAGGAGAGTGTTCTAGATTCTTGCTATTCAAAGTGAGGCCAAGGGACCAGCAACACCTGCATTATTTACGAGCCCCTTAGAAATGTGGAATGTCAGGTTCCACCACTGAATCAGAGTCAGCTTTTAATTTTTTATTTTTATTTTTTGAGATGGAGCCTTGCTCTGTCACCGGGCCAGAGTGCAGTGGCGCGATCTTGGCTCACTGCAACCTCTGCCTCCTGGGTTCAAGCGATTCTCCTGCCTCAGCCTCCCGAGTAGCTGGGATTACAGGCACCCACCACCACGCCCAGCTAATTTTTGTATTTTTAGTAGAAATGGGGTTCACCATGTTGGCCAGGATGGTCTCAATCTCTTGACCTTGTGATCTGCCTCCCAAAGTGCTGGGACTACAGGCGTGAGCCACCACGCCTGGCCCAGAGTCAGCGTTTACCGTCATTTCACAGTGATTTGTATACACATGGCAGCTTGAGAAGCACTGCTGTGGACCTCTGCACATGCCCTCAGGCAGTCGAGAGAGAGAAGGCGGCACCAAGAGGAACTGGAAGCAGATAGACTGGCTGGTGAAGCCAGAGTTCGCGTTGGAGAGGCTGGGCGTGTAGGCAGGGACCAGATCAAGCAGACGCTTGGACATTTTGCTGAAGATTTTAGAGTTTATTCCTAGTTAAAGCACTGGAGTCATTGATGATGTTACCCAGAGGATTAAGATGAGACTTTTGGAAAATCACCCAGCGTCATATGGCGAATGCGTGGCAGGAAACAGAGTGGAGAGGGGATGAGCCGAGGCTGTTGCAGGATCCAGGGGAGAGGACGGAAGGCTGACTTGGAGGGGCTGGTGGGGTGGTTTGGAAGTGGTTGGAGCTCAGATTTTGCAGGTGGTAAATTGATGAGATGGGAGATTTGGGGAGAAGGAGGCGGCGAGAATGGCTCCCAGGTTTGTAAGCGCTAGATACATGGGACAACCATTCTCTGAGATAAAGGTTGGTGCAGGAGGGAGGGTTAGGATTCAATTCTTCTTCTTTTAGATTAAAAACAATTTTTTAAGGGACAGGGTCGTGCTCTGTCACTCAGCCTGGAGGATAGTGGTTCATTCCTAGGTCACTGCAACCTCCCACTCCTGGGCTCAAGGGATCCTCCCATCTTAGCCTCCCAAGTAGCTGGGAATATAGGGCACGTGCCACCGAGCCCAGCTAATTTAAACATTTTCTGTAGAGATGAGGTCTTGCTGTGTTGCCCAGGCTGCTCTTCAGATTCTTGGGTTCAAGCCATCCTCCCACCTTGACCTCCAGAGTGCTGGGATTACAGGTGCGAACCACCGCACCTTGTCGAGGGGTCACCTCTCAGTTGGATATGCCTGAGGCTCAGAAGAACATTCTGGGCTGGAGGTAAAAATCTGGGAGCCCTTCTCCTAGAGAAGGGAATGGAAGCTTTGGGATGAGGGAGCGCTCTAGGGAGAGGATGGAGCGAGAAGAGAGGTTCCTGGGGCAGCACCTCAAGGAACCCCCCAGGTAAAGGCTGGTGCTGGGGTCTCTGCAGAGGAGGCTGGGCCAAGACGTGGAGGGAGGAGCATTTCGTGGCAGTGGGACTGGCAGCGGTGGGACTGCTGCTGAGAGGCCAAGTACGGTGCAGAGTGCACAGTGGCCACTGCGCCCTGTGGCCTGGCAGTTGCTGGGGATGTAACTCAGACCAGCCCTGGGAGGGGTGGGGTGGACAGCAGACGGCCGTGTGTTGAGGAATGGGTGGCGATGGTGAGAGTCAGAGGGTGTAGACGGTACTTGTGAGGTGGGGAGCCTGGAGTGCGAGGAAATGTGGAGCAGAGGGAGTGAGGCAGGGGTGCTCAGGAATCTGGACCACAGCAGGGATTATTTTTAACACATTCTTTCAAAAAATGATTTATGAGCATCCACCGGGTGCCTGCCCCTGCTGTGCTCTCCCATGAAGGCTGGCGGGAGGGGCCACAGGCAGGCCCGGAGCAGAGCAGCCTCAGGGAAAACTGAGCAGCTGCAGTCAGGAGAGGGCCCTCCCTCCTCCTCCCCTGTGTTTTGTCCTTCTCCTCTCTGAGCTCAGCTCAGGAATTTCCCAGCCTGTGACTTTACTGCCCAGACCCCACGCGCAAGGTCAGAGCTGGGAACGGAGGAAGAGGCGAGGGATTGTCCTGGAACTCAGACTGGGTGGGGTTCCTTCTGTGGTTGGGATTGGGGGTCAGTGTGTGTGGTGTGCCTGGCCCGAGGGGTCTCTTTGTGACTGTCATTTGGGTTCATTCTGTGGCTCAGACAGCCTGTGGCCACAGTTAGGAGTCTGTCTCTGGCGAGGACGCTTTTTCCCTTTGTGTGAAAGCTAACCGCCCGTAGGGGATTTAAAACCACAGTCCTCACCTTCCACCAACCTGCTCACCACAGGGGTGCCCCATCACAAAAGGGATGACATTGATGAAATAATATTGCGACTTCTGCTTGCAGGCTGTCCGATTCTTTCCCTAACTTGAGTTCCCTGAGCACAGCAACTGTGTCCTATTCTTTGGGGCCCCCAGGCCCTGGCTTAGGGTGGGGACCTGGGACTTGTTTATGGGATGACTGTAAGGGACACCTCGGTCAGGGGAGCTTGTTCTGCTCCTGACCCTCCACTGCTCTGGTTCTGGCTGGATCTTATATCTCAGCAGACCAGGGCTCTACCTGCCACATCTCTGTCCTAGGGACAGGGTGAGGTGAGGCCAGGCCTGTGCTTGGTTGACACCTCCCAGGTTATTGTAGCACACTGAGGCCAGAGACGCCCTGGGTGGAGGGTGGCCTCTCTCTGAGGGTCCCTGGCCCTGAGGGTTCGTGAATCAGTTCTCTGTTCTTTGAGCCTCGGGCAGTGGGAGAAGGCTTCACCCGGTTCTCTTGGTGGTGCAGGCTCAGGGAGGGTGTGGCAGGGGTACCCCTGGTTGATTAGCTCGGGAGTCACAGAAGTTTGGGAATGGACAGTCCGTTTCCTTCATAGGTAAACGGGAAGCCCCGAGGTAGGAAATGACTCTCCCAAGGCAGCACCGAAGACAGCTGTGTTCCTCCTCTAGTCAATAGAATAAGTTACATTCTTTATTTTTAGTTTTCTTTTTATAATTATTTTTTTTGAGGCGGAGTCTCGCTCTATCGCCCAGGCTAGAGTGTAGTGGCCGGATCTCAGCTCACTGCAAGCTCCGCCTCCTGGGTTCACGCCATTCTCCTGCCTCAGCCTCCCGAGTAGCTGGGACTACAGGTGCCCGCCACCTCGCCTGGCTAATTTTTTGTGTTTTTAGTAGAGACGGGGTTTCACTGTGTTCGCCAGGATGGTCTCGATCTCCTGACCTCGTGATCCGCCTGCCTCAGCCTCCCAAAGTGCTGGGATTACAAGTGTGAGCCACCGTGCCCGGCCTATTTTTATTTTTTGAGATGGAGTCTCTGTCGCCCAGGCTGAATGGAGTGCAGTGACGCGATTTCGGCTCACTGCAACCTCCGCCTCCCGGGCTCAAGCGGTTCTCCTGCCTCAGCCTCCCGAGTAGCTGGGATTACAGGTGCGCACCACCACGCCCCGCTAATTTTTACACTTTTAGTAGAGACGGGGTTTTGCCATGTTGGGCAGGCTGGTCTTGAACTCCTGACCTCAAGTGATCCGCCAACCTCGGCCTCCCAAAGTGCTGGGATGACAGGCGTGAGCCACCGCGCCCAGTCCAGGATAAGTTAAATTCTAAGATCCAAACTAGTTTTGGTCAAGTGGTCGGCTCATCTCACGCTTGTGGGCCCAGGGATGGCCTCTCGTGGCTCTCCCACTGGGAAGGGCTGGCTGGAGCAGTAGCTGGCCTCCAGCCTGAGCATCTCCCCCGCGCTCACCCCGGACCCCCACCCTCACTGGCGTGCCTGCTGCTACCCATCCTGTATGCACCCTCCCCCACCTCTTTGCTGTTTGTTTTTCAAGGGGATTTTTTTTATTTTTTTGCTAATGTGAAGCTGATAAAAAGCAACCAAAGAGATGCTGACCAGATGGGCTGAATGAGATCCCAGTTCCCAGCCAGACCTCAAACTGGCTGGTGCTGGATGGGCTGGGAGAGGGGCTTGGGGCTGAGTCTGTGGGAATGCCGTGGGTGGTTTCCAGGCCCACATTTTTTTTTTTTAGGAAGCTGGTTTTTGTGCCCCAGTGGGTCAGCAGGCATTTAGGGAGGGCCATTTGTGTGTCCAGAATTGTGCTGAGTCCTTTGGGGTCACATCAGAGCTGCAGTCCTCTATCCTCAGAGGCCTGCCGTCTACAGGGGCCCTAACTGAGTGGGAGAAACCAGGTGGCTCAGCAGGTGACAAGGCTCAGATGTGAAATGTGGCTTCTCACTGGGGAGGAGAGGAGGGGAAACGCTATGTGGGGAGGTGGGATAGGGTAGGGTGGGGTGGGGCAGCCAGAAGGGGCCCTAATGGCAAGCATGGGGGTCAGGGTGCCCCCCTGGCATCGTAGACAGTAAAACCGTCCCAGGCCCTGTGAAGTAAAAGGGTCGATTCTCCCGATTCTCTCGGCGCTCACGGGAAGGACACAGGGCATTTCGTTGAAGTCCACTCTGCTGGGACTTGACCTGACCTTGTCCCTGGAGCCGCACCAGGCCCTGCGCCGGCTCGGTCAGCTGGGAGGTGGCCCTTGCTCAGCCTTCCACACCCTTCTTTGTGCAAGTCTGAGGCCAGCCGCTCTCAGACCTTCTGCTTTCCGGAAGAGGATAGTGGAGGCTTGAAGTTCCCACTGCAGGGACCAGCAGAAAGTCTTGTTCCTCCCTTGCTCCTTGGCGTGTGGCTCTCCACGGCCAGCGAATGCCCCCATCGCCTCCATGCTAGGTAAGGCGGGTGTGCAAGCTTCCTATGCCAGGGAAGAGAATGGAGATCAGAGGAGCCTCCTTGCCCCTCGCTGTCCCTCTGGGCAGAGCTGGGCTGGGCCTCCCTTTCCAGCTCATGGATTGCCCACCAGCCACCCTCTCTCCCTGGGGTTGGGGGGTGGCGTGGGGGGCTTCTGTTCCAGCTTGTAGCACGGCCCCCAGCCTGATTTCATCTCTCTTGTGTGTTCCTGGTTCCTGTCTCCTTCTTCTGTTAGGCTGTGTGAGGAGACTATCCCCCAGTCAGGGTTGAGTGACAGCGTCAGCCCTCGTTACATCCACCGGCTTTGGATGGATGAAGGGAGGGGAGGCATTCGTGGGAGGGTTGACGGGAGCCTTTTTGGGCCGGGGCAGGAAGGGCTGAAGGACATCAGCAAGGAGGTTTGGTTTTTTGTTTGTGTGTTTTTTGAGACGAAGTCTCGCTCTTGTCCCCCAGGCTGCAGTGCGATGCTCCCGAGTAGCTGGGATTACAGGCGTGAGCCCCCACGCCCGGCTAATTTTTGTATTTTTAGTAGAGACGAGGTTTTGCCATGTTGGCCAGGCTGGTCTCGAACTCCTGACCTCAGGTGATCCACCCGCCTCAGCTCTCAAAGTACTGGGATTACAGGCGTGAGCCACCGCGCCCGGCCAGGAGGTTTGGTTTCTCCCTCTTGAAGAAACTTGGAGGCCAGGTGCTGTGGCTCACGCCTGTAATCCCAGCACTTTGGGAGGGCAAGGCAGGTGGGTCACCTGAGGTCAGGAATTTGAGACCAACCTGACCAACATGGCAAAACCCCATCTCTACTAAAAACACAAAAGATTAGTCAGATGTGGTGGCGAGTGCCTGTAATCCTAGCTACTCGGGAGGCTGGGGCAGGAGAATGGCATGAATCTGGGAGGAGGAGCTTGCAAGTGAGCCAAGATCACGCCACTGCACCTCACCCTGGGTAAGAGAGCGAGACTCCATCTCAAAAAAAAAAAAAATAAAGAAAGCCCTGTACAGGGACAGGAGCGGACAGATACTTATTTCCACATTCCTACTGCTGGAGGGAGGCCCTCGCTGAAACTCTGTGGGTCCTGGGAGAGTCACCTCTGGTCTCTACATCGACTGCGTTTCTGTTGCCGCTCCGGACATGGTTGGGGCACAAGGCCATCTCCTCAGGAGCCGCTGCCCATTGTTCCCTTGAGTCCATCCAGAGCCAAGGGAAGTTCACGTCTGATTTAAGGCAGGCGTGAGGAAGGGCTTATTTGGCTACTGAGGGTGAGGATGCTAACTAGGAGGCTTTAAGAACATGGAGGCCGGGCGCGGTGGCTCAAGGGCCGGGCGCGGTGGCTCAAGCCTGTAATCCCAGCACTTTGGGAGGCCGAGACGGGCGGATCACGAGGTCAGGAGATCGAGACCATCCTGGCTAATATGGTGAAACCCCGTCTCTACTAAAAATACAAAAAACTAGCCGGGCGAGGTGGCGGGCGCCTGTAGTCCCAGCTACTCGGGAGGCTGAGGCAGGAGAATGGCGTAAACCCGGGAGGCGGAGCTTGCAGTGAGCTGAGATCCGGCCATTGCACTCCAGCCTGGGCGACAAAGCGAGACTCCGTCTCAAAAAAAAAAAAAAAGAACATGGAGATGTTGGCTGGGCGTGGTGGCACGTGCCTGAAATCCCAGCATTTTGGAAGGCTGAGGCAGGAGGATCACTTGAGGCCAGGAGTTTGAGACCAGCCTGGGCAACACGATGAGATCTCATTTCTGCAAAAAATTAAAAAATTAGCTGGGCCTGGTGGTTCATGCCTGTAGCCCCAGTTACTCTGGAGGCCAAGGTGGGAAGATGGATTGAGCCCAGGAGATGGAGCTTGCAGTGAGTTAGGATTGCGCCACTGCGCTCTAGCCTGGGTGACAGAGCAAAACCCTGTTTCAAAAAGAAAAAAAAAGAAAAAAAAAAAGAATATGGAGATGTCTGCATTTGTACCTACTTAACTGCATGCGTCTCCCTCCTCACCTGTGCACACGTGAGCATGTACCTGTTTTCCCTGATTCTGTTCATGTTTTAAGGCCAACTCACTTACGCTTCTGGAAGATTACTGTAGGTGTCACTGGAATTTTAAAAATTTGCAGACGTGGAAATGCATAAGTCTTAACTGTATTGTATACTTTGACTAATGGTACATCCACAGGACCCATACCTTGATCAAGAAACAGGACATTTCTGCCACCTCTGAAAGCTCCCATGTCCTGACCCAGTCAATCATAACTGATCCCTTGAGGACCAAACACTGTTCTGATTTTTTTCAAAAATGAGTTTTGCCGGGCGCGGTGGCTCACGCCTGTAATCCCAGCACTTTGGGAGGCTGAGGCGGGCGGATCACAAGGTCAGGAGATCGAGACCACGGTGAAACCCCGTCTCTACTAAAAATACAAAAAAAATTAGCCGGGCGCGGTTGTGGGCGCCTGTAGTCCCAGCTACTCGGGAGGCTGAGGCAGGAGAATGGCGTGAACCCGGGAGGCGGAGCTTGCAGTGAGCCGAGATCGCGCCACTGCACTCCAGCCTGGGCGACAGAGCTAGACTCCGTCTCAAAAAAAAAAAAAAAAAAAAAAAAAAATGAGTTTTGTCTGTTCTAGAACTTAATTTTTTTTTTTTGAAATGGGGTCTTGCTCTGTTGCCCAGGCCAGAGCGCAGTGATGTGATCTCTGCTCAGTGTGACCTCTGTCTCCCGGGTTCAAGCGATTCTCCTGCCTCAGCCTCCCCAGTAGCTGGGATTACAGGTGCCCGCCACCACTGCCGGCTAAGTTTTTTGTATTTTTAATAGAGACGGGGTTTTACCATGTTGGCCAGGATGGTCTTGAACTCCCAACCTCAAGTGATCCGCCTTCCTCAGCCTCCCAAAGTGCTGGGATTACAGGTGAGAGCCACCGTGCCTGGCTGGTGACTGTTTATATGAAACAGCTACACTATTTGCCAGATGGTCAGGCCATTTTATATCCTCACCAGCAATGTCATTGGAGGTCTGGCTGCTCCACATCCTCACCAACATTTGCCATTGTTGGTTTTAACACTTTTAGCCACTTGAACGGTGTCTCATTGTGGTTTTAATCTACATTTTCTCATGAATAATGATGTTGAATATTTTTCATATTGACTATTTATTGACTATTCTTATAGTTCTTTTTGGCCTTCCTCCCCGCTTTAAAATTCAGTAGTCTTCTTGTAGGTGTTCTTTACATATTCTAGTCGAGTTCATTTCTTTTCTTCTTCTTTTTGTTTTTTTTTTTTTTGAGATGGAGCCTCGCTCTGTTGCCCAGGCTAGAGTGCAGTGGTACGATCTCGGCCCCCTACAACCTTCACCTCCCGGGTTCAAACGATTCTCCTGCCTCAGCCCGCCAAGTAGCTGGGATTACAGGTGCCCGCCACCACACCTGGCTAATTTTTAAATTTTTAGTAAAGATGGGGTTTCACCATGTTGGCTAGCCTGATCTTGAACTCCTGACCTCGTGATCTGCCCGCCTCGGCCTCCCAAAGTGCTGGGATTATAGGTGTGAGCCACTGCACCCGGCCTTCTTCTTTTTAAAAATAGAGATGGTGTCTCACTCTGTCACCCAGGCTGGTCTCAAACTCGTGACCTCAAGTGATCCTCCTGCCTGGACTCCCAATTTGTTGGGATTACAGGCTTAAGCCACCATTCCTGACCCATTTCTTTTTTTTCTTTTTTTTAGTTTTTGGATATAGGGTCTCACTTTGTTACCCAGGCTAGAGTGCAGTGGTACGAACATGGCTCACTGCAGCCTCAACCTCCTGGGCTCAAGCCATCCTCCCACCTCAGCCCCCCAAGTAACTGGGACTACAAGCTTGTGCCGCCATGCCTGACTAAGTTTTGAATTTTTTTGTAGAGAGAGAGAGGATTTCACCCTGTTGCCCAGGCTGGTCTTGAACTCCTAAGCCCCAGCGATCCGCCCACCTCGGCTTTCCAAAGTGCTGGGATTACGGACGTGAGCCAACGCGCCTGGCCCATTTCTTTTCTTAACAGTGTCTTTAATGAGCAGAAGTTTTAATTTTGATGATGTCTAATTATGGACTCTTTTCCTTTTATGTCTGTAGCTTTGTGTGTCCTAAGAAGTCTTTGCTTACCCCAGCTCACAAAGATTTCCTTCCATGTGTTCGAGCTTTATTTTTATTTATTTATTTTTTTGGGATGGAGTCTTGCTCTGTCACCAGGCTGGAGTACAGTGGCGCCATCTCGGCTCACTGCAACCTGTGCTTCCTGGGTTCAAGTGATTCTCCTGCCTCAACTTCCCGAGTAGCTGGGACTACAGGTGCCCGCCACCACACCTGGCTAATTTTTTTGTATTTTTAGTAGAGACGGGGTTTCACCATGTTGGCCAGGATGGTCTCAATCTCCTGACCTCGTGATCCGCCCGCCTCAGCCTCCCACAGTACTGGGATTACAGGCATGAGCCACCGCGCCCGGCTAGAAGCTTTATTATTTTAGCTCTAGGTCTAAGATAAACTTGTTTTAATTTAATTATGTATGACGGTATGTTGGGGTCTAGGTTCATTTATTGCTGTATGGATATTCTGTTGTTCCGGTACTGTATGTTGAAAAGACTTACCTTTCCTTGTTTAATTGCTTTGGTGCCTTAGTCAAATCTCTGCCAGGCATGGACGTGCACACGTGTGTTTGTTTAGTGTCTCTCCCACCATGGTGTTTCTCTGCACCAGGGATGGAAAATACGTGACGTCTGTGCCATCAGTCCATCGTTTGGCTCCATGGCAGATATTGGTAATTGATCACGGTCCTCTTTCCCAAGAGCTTAGACTTCGTCTCAGAATCCTGTTCAACAAAGCACTGTGGGCAGCCACTGGCAGTCATTTGGAGTTGTCATTTGAGACAAATTACTTCTGGCGTCTCTGATTGAAATCGTCACAAGAGGTTGAGTTATTTGCTGAAGGTCCCACAGCTGGTGAGTGGCAGAGCCAGGATGCGGGCTCAGGTTTGTCTGTGTGGCTCTGAAGCCTGTGCTATCGTCCCCACCTCTACAGACTGCTTTGCATGAATCATTTGAACAGGTCACTTCATCTCCCTGACCTCTAGTCTCTTCACTTGTATCATAGGGATGGTGGCCACCAGGAGGGGTGGGTGTGAGCAGTAATGAGGTCATCCACAAAGTTGCTAGTGGAGCATCAGATACGTAGGTGCTCAGTGATGGATTGTGACGATGGCGATGATGACAATGATGGTCTGTGATGATGGCGATGATGACAATGATGGTCTGTGATGATGGCGATGATGACAATGATGGTCTGTGATGATGGCGACGATGACAGTGATGGTCTGTGACGATGGCGATGATGACAATGACAGCAATGATGATCTAGGTTCAGTTGTTGCCCTTGAGAAACACAGAGTCAGGGCTTCTCTCTAGGGAACCCAGAGTAGCTGGCTCATCAGAGTCCCTTGCCTCTTCCTATGTATCCTCGGGCCCCTGGCCTTCCAAGCTGGAGGCCCCAAAGTAAAGCCGTGCTTCCTTAAGTTTGCTAATAGAGCACAAGCCACGGGCTTTGGCCTAAGCCTCTAGGCCAGCTGAGCTGTGCTCCTTCTCTCTTTGTGGGAGGAACAGCTGGCTGGGTTCCCAGAGTTCTCTTTCTGGGCACCTTCTTGCCCTCTCCATTGATTTTCCAGCCCATCTTTCTTTCCTTTGGATTGGCCAAGTGATCTCCCCTGCCACAGGGGCGATTAATCCAGCTCCTTTGACCTGGTTCTGGGCCCCTCTGAGGTTCTTCTTAAGAACTTGAAGCAATAGAGAGTTGTCGCTAAGAATACAGTTTTTGGAGCCAGTTAGCCTGGGGTTAAGGCTTCCCCAGTTCTTCTTCTTCTTCTTTTTTTTTTTTTTGAGACAGAGTTTTGCTCTTCTTGCCCAGGCTGGAGGGCAGTGGCATGATCTCCGCTCATTGCAACCTCTGCCTCCCGGATTCAAGTGATTCTCCTGCTTCAGCCTCCCGATTAGCTGGGATTACAGACATGCGCCACCACACCTGGCTAAGTTTGTATTTTTAGTAGAGTTGGGGTTTCTCCATGTTGGTCAGGCTGGTCTCGAACTCCTGAGCTCAGGTGATCCACCCGCCTTGGGCTCCCAAAGTGCTGGAATTATAAGTGTGAGCCACCACGCCCAGCCATTTTTGGTATTTTTAGTAGAGACGGGGTTTCACCATGTTGGCCAGGCTGGTCTCGAACTCCAGACCTCAGGTGATCCTCCCGCCTCAGCCTCCCAAAGTGCTGGGATTACAGGCGTGAGCCACCATGCCTGGCCCCCACCCCTGCTTTTTAAAATTCATTTTTATTTTGAGATGGAGTCTTGCTCTGTTGCCCAGGCTGGAGTACAGTGGCACAATCTTGGCTCACTGCAACCTCCACTTCCTGGGTTCAAGCGATTCTCCTGCCTCAGCCTCCCAAGTAGCTGAGATTACAAGCACGTGCCACTACGCCCAGCTAATTTTTGTATTTTTAGTACAGATGGCGTTTAACCATGTTGACCAGGCTGGTCTCGAACTCCTGACCTCAGGTGATCCACTTGCCTCAGCCTCCCGGAAGTGCTGGGATTACAGGCATAAGCCAGTGCACCTGGCCAAAGTTTACCCACTTCTTAGCTATATAACCTCTGCGCATCTCAGTTTCCTCTTTTGTAGAATAGGGATGTATTAGTCCTGTCTCGCATTGCTCTGAAGTAATACCCGAGACTGGATAATTTATAAAGAAAGGAGGTTTGGCCAGGTGTGGTGGCTCACACCTGTAATCCCAGCACTTTGGAAGGCTGAGGCGGGCAGATCATGAGGTCAGGAGTTCGAGACCAGCCTGGCTAATATGGTGAAACCCTGTTTCTACTAAAAATATAAAAATTAGTCAGGCATGGTGGCGGGCACTTGTAATCCTAGCTACTCGGGAGGCTGAGGCAGGAGAATCACTTGAACCTGGGAGGTCGAGGTTGCAGTGAGTCGAGATCGTGCCATTGTACTCCAGCCTGGGCAATAGAGGGAGACTCGATCTTAAAAAAAAAAAAAAAAAAAGGCAGTTTAACTGGCTCACAGTTCTGTAGGCTGTACAGGAAGCGTGATGGTGGCATCTGCTTGGCTGCTGGGGTGCCTCAGGAAACTTTTATTCATGACTAAAGGCGAAGCAGGAGGAGGCACGTCACGGGGCCAGAACGGGAGTGAGGGAGCGAGGGAGGGTGCCGCACACTTTTAAACCAGATCTCATGAGAATTCACCCACAATGTCGAGGACAGCACCAGGGAGGGGATGGTGCTAAACCGTTCATGAGAAATCCACCCTGTGGTCCAGTCAGCTCCCAGCAGGCCCCACCTCCCGCACTGAGGGTTACAGTCTCATGTGAGATTTGGGCGGGGACACAAACCCAAACTATATCAAGGATAGTAAGAGTACCTGCCCTGTGTGGCTCTAGTGAAGATTAATTGAGATGATATGCCTTTATCGCTTAGAACAGCGGTATGCAGTAAGTGCTACGTAAATATCAGTCGTTATTATTCCTCCAAAAAACTGTGTTTCTGAAATGTGCGGAGAATAGCAATGCTTAGAGAGACTGGGGGGGAAGTACACCAGGTTTTCTGTGAATATAGTTTGTCAGGGTGCCCTGATTTCTGCCTTGCCAGGTGCCCGCAGCTGAGGGGCCTGTCTTTGGAATGAACAAGGATTGACATTTTGTGTGGGTGGCCCTACGAGAGCCTTGTGTATCAGACTCAAAACCCTGCCTGATAAATGTGGATGCCCTTGAGGGTCTTGGAAAAAGGCTAAAAACCAGGATCCAGCCCAGCATCTGAGCCAGACCTGGAGGAAGGAACATATTTCTGAGTTGTGCTTCCAACTCTTGCCTTCTGAATCTGACCTAAACAGGGGGTCCCGGCGAGGGGAGGGAGCAGAAAGAACCTGCAGGGTCGCCATCTTCATAAAGGTTTTTGGGCCTGAGTCGAGACATGGGTAATTCGGGGTTGTGGAGAGGCCCGAGGCTGGCCTTGGAATACGTTTTATGAGCAGTTTGTCCTCATCAGAAGTTTCTTTCCTAACTCCTTTTGCCTGTAGCTGATATTAAAATGAGTCTGTATTTCGGGGATAGATACTGACCTTGTGGGGAACATGAGAAAGTGGGGGGCAGGGCCTAAAAGCCATGGGGAGCCAGGCAGGGGTACAGCTGCCCTTTCAGCCTGAGTGGCCCATGGTCTGGGAGTCTGGGCTGATGGTAAAGGTGACTGGCTGCCAGGCCCTCCTTCCGTCGCCCTCTCCGTTTTCCTTTTCTCTTTTTTAATTTTTTTATTTTTTGAGATGGAGTCTTGCTCTGTTGCCCAGGCTGGAGTGCAGTGGCACGATCTCGGCTCACTGCAACCTCTGCCTCCTGGGTTCAAGCGATTCTCCTACCTCAGCCTCCCAAGTAGCTGGGATTATAGGCACCCGCCACCACACCTGGCTAATTTTTATATTTTTAGTAGAGGTGGGATTTTGCCATGTTGGCCAGGCTGGTCTTGAACTGTTGACCTCAGGTGATCCACTCGCCTCGGCCTCCCAAAGTGCTGGGATTACAGGCATGAGCCACCACATCTGGCCTCCTTTTTTCTTTTTTTTTTTTGTTTGAGACAGGTTCTCTGTCGCCCAGACTGGAGTGCAGTGGTACGATCATGGCTCACTGCAGCCTTGACCTTCTGGGCCCAAGCAGTCCTCCTACCTCAGCCTCCCAGGGAGCTAGGACCACAGGTGTGCACCACCACGCCCTGCTAGGCTTAAACAGATTTTTTTTTTTTAATTTGTAGAGGCGGGGTCTCCCTGTGTTCCCAGGCTGTCCTCTCCCTTTTTCTTGTCGTGCTCTTCGCCTCTTTCTGCCTGTTGGTGAGGGCTCGGCTCTGGCTCACTTTGCTGGCATTCAGAAGACTTATAGAGCACTTGGCATTCAGGGTGTCACCCAGGGGATGCTCCCAGCGCCCCCCGCCCCACCCCAGGCATCCCACCTGCCGTTGGAGGCCTGACCAGCCATACCACCCCAGAACTTAGTCCCTGGGTCTGTGATGTCCCTGCCTGTTTTCAGGTCCTGCCTCCCCACGGGATGGTGCTGGGTCTGGGTCTTGCCTCTTCCTGGGATTTAGAAACCAGTCGTGTGACATCGTGCAGTTCAGTCATCTTCTGTGAACCTCGGTTTCTTCATTTATAGAACGGAGCTCACCCTGTAGGGTGACTGCAAGAATTACAGGAGGAAGCAGGCGGACAAGGGCTCCGTAAGGTGCCAGGCTTCCTGCAGGTGTCGAATATCAGCACATAATGGACACTAGTGGTTCTTATCATGGTCAATATGCCAAACACGCGTAGGGTGGTTCCATTGATAATCCCGCTCTTCTTCTCTGCCAGCCGCCATAGACTCTTCTCCACTGAGACCGGCTCAGCAGCGGGATGCCGCCAGATTCTGTGTTCTGACATCCACCCCCACCTGCTACCCCCATCCAAGAGTGTCATTTACCTGACACTCAAGCCTGCTGTGTCTGGGGCTTCAGAGGCCAGTGGATGGTGGGTTCTGTGATGCTTCCTGAAGGGATGTACCCTGCGTAGATCTGTGCCTCAGTGGGTTCCTCCTGTGCGTGCCCCTCCTGCTGGCTTTTTACCCCAGGGGCCCCCAGCAGATCTGTGCTCTTGGCTGAGTGTGGAGATGGAGTTTCAGGCCTTGGGGGTAGATTTGATTCCTAGGGTTGCTAGAGCAAATTGCTATGAACTTGATGGGCTGAAATAAAAGGATAAAAGGAATTTCTTTTCTTCTTCTTCTTTTTTTTTTTTTTTCTTTTTTGGGACAGAATCTCACTCTGTCACCCAGGCTAGAGTGCAGTGGCGTGATCTTGGCTCACGGCACCTTCTGCCTCCTGGGTTCAAGCAGTTCTCCTGCCTCAGCCTCCCAAGCAGCTGGGAATTACAGACACCAGCCACCACACCCGGCTAATGTTTTGTATTTTTAGTAGAGTCGGTGTTTTGCCACGTTGGCCAGGCTGGTCTTGAACTCCTGATCTCAGGTGATCCACCCGCCTCAGCCCCCCAAAGTCCTGGGATTACAGGCATGAGCCACCGTACCCGGCCAGCAATTTA